GCTAAAAGAATACGCCTCACAGTTTTGCTGTAAAAGTACAGGCATGGTATTGAAAGTCATGTCCCCATTATTTTACATTGCCTTCCTAAGATTCGTTCCCTTTAAGCAAGCAGAATATTGACTTATATAAAATTTAATACACACAGGTGAAATCATCAAGTCTTTTCATCTCTAAGAGTGAATGAATTTTATCTCCACGTAATGCAAGAGAAGGATGGCTTTAAGAAGTTCATGCACACGTCCAGCCATGCACAGTCTAAGCAACATGCGCTATATCATATCATGGCTCACAAAAGATAAAGGAACAATAATGAAAAGCAACAATAAAAAGAAAAATTACTCTGCCTTCTCGTCTTTAAGCACTCTGTATTTGGGACTCTGGAGCTCTTCAATGCTCTCTGCAATTGGCTTATTTAGTGTCTCTGGGAGGAGGAAGGTCAGGAATCCTGCAGACAGCCCACTGATTCCAAACACCACGAACGGTACAGAAGGACTAAGAGACTTCTGAAATTACAAATCCATAGCAAAAAGTAACACTGCTTGTTGCTCTTAAAATACATGAGCTACGTGAACTTCAGACAAAACTGAAAGGCTACAACTCCTTCATTTGAGAAATTTAATTGCTTACGTGCTATAAGTAGTCAGATAAAGAGCGGGCCTTTGTACCATACTGCATGAAAACCAATTCACTAACACAGAGCACAACACAGAAACTGCAGATTCTTTCCCGAAAGGATACAATACTAGCCACATATAGACATTTTGTTCATTTATTCTGGAAACTGACTGAAGGGAATTTAATTTTTCTTGAAATCATCTTTTTCAAGCAAGATAGGCATGTGTGGTATCACAATCACTAAAATGCCCTTCAGAGACTTTAATACATCTGTTGCTTAAAAAGTAAAAAAGATCTGCTCTTACCATAGTTGGCACAAATGGAGCCAAAATGCCCCCAAATCTGCAAGACATGGAACAGACCCCCAGGCCAGCATTTCTGTTTTAAACAAAGGCAGAAAAATACAAAATTTCAGAATATACAGCTGCAGCGTGTGGTGGCACTGTTAGAAACAGCTTACATGGTTTGTTTTTGTTACCAATTGTCTTCATCAAACAGAAGAAAAAATAAAGAAAAAAAAGATGTTTCCTCCCCCTTCTCTGTGGGATGGGAATTGAAAGGAAAAGAAACAAAAGCAGAACTCGCGGGTTAAGATAAAACTATCTACAAAGATAGGGAAAAAGATAATAGTTACGACAAATATACATATGTATATAACAAGTGACGCACAAGCAATTGCTGACCACTCCATAACCAATTCCCAGCTAGTGCCCCCAGGCAATGAAAGAGAGTGATGAACTCCCACCCCCACTTAGAACACCTTCCACTTGATGTTCTATGGTATGGAATATGCCTTTGGCCAGTTGGGCTCATTGCTGAGAAAGGCCTTGGCTCCGTACAACTCTGCTTAGCAGCAGCTATAAACATCAGTGTGTTACCAGCACTGTTTTTTTCTCCTAGAGCCAAACCAGACACTCATCCAACTGAAGCTAAGACACAGCCATGTAGGGCAACAAAACTGGATGTCCCTGCGCTGGATAGGGAATGATTTCACAACCTGGCTTGATCTTCAGAGAGAACAACCCAAATGGTGCCTCCTGTCCCTTGTGCCATCTCAGGTTACTCAGATGAAAAGTCAGTGCTGATCTCCAAACAGAAAGTAGCTGTCTGTTAGTGTGAGGCTTGAAAGCTTATGGCCAGATGGGGCCCCAGGCACTGCTGAATTCCTCACACCCTCAGTTTTCAGACAAATTTAAATCGACCTCACCTAACCTGAACAGTAAACAAAGCAGGAGTTAGAGCAGCAGGATCCTCTTCAAAGAAAGGTGCAGAAATCCCCATTGTCTTTCATTTCCTGAACAAATGCAAAATTCTTTCCATCTCCATATGACTCCTACAAACACTATCAGTTCCTTCAGAGACCAACACTGGCACTGCTCACAAGCTGGGCAGCAAGAACCACCTCACAGCTGCTCCCCTTCCCACATCTCCAGCTTCTTCCTCTCATTCATCATCACCCTGAATTACTGAGCAGAGCTGCTCCCCCTCAGCCTGTTTTCCTTATCCAAACACAGGAAGGCAGTGACAGGATAAAAGAGGACAAGCCACGGGGTGACATGGGTCACCAGTATGCCAGAACCACCCACATTCACCTCCCTTCCTCATGGCCCTTTGCACGGGTTAAGGGAAACAGATGATGGAAGCAGCTGATGAGAAGCCAGCGACTTTGGTGTAAAAATAAACAGACAAAGCAGCCTATTCTTTCACACGTCCTCTTGGGAAAAGGACGATAGCAACCCGTACTTCCTCTCTTTAAAGCAACATCGATCCAAACCCCATAAGAGAAAGCCAATCACCTCCCCTCTGTCACAATCCCTCAAGAGATGAGAGGCACCTGTTTGTACATGAACCATTCATTTAGAAGCACCCTGACCACAAACCCTATGCCTGTCAACATCCAGAGGTTTGCCAGCTTTTTTCTGACAGAGAGGAAATATGGCAAAAATGTGATTGTAAATGCAAAATATTTTAATTCCAATGCAAAAGGAATGCAGTTCAGACTTCAGAATATAATTAATTCAGAATTCAGCATAGCGTGGGTTGTGCAGAAGAACGTTTGGGTAACCAGGAGGAGGGAGACACTGCTGCTCAGGAGCTGTGAGGAAGCACTCAAGATGTGCTTATTTAAATTTTTGTTTCCCAAAACGTATTTTAAAGACGCATTAAGAAGGAAAAAAAAAAGCTGAAAGCTTGTATACACTGCAGCACACAGCACTTCTTTTCTAGCATGAGTTATGTTGCTCATTCCTCCATGTACTCATTTTCATGAAAAAATAAGCATGCTTTGCACAGTGCTCATGCTCAGGGTAATACGTAGGTTCAAATAAGGAGAAGCACTACTGAAAACATTGAACAGCTCTACAGAACATCCAATTGGAAGAAAAAAAAAACACACATAAAAAACCCAACAGCTTCTCCCGCCTTCCCTCTGCTGCCTTTGAAATGGGACTCCTCTCAGCACAGGGAAAGCTCCTGCTGGATGGAAGCCAGGATCACTACTGAGCTGAACAAAGGCCACCAGATGGTGCTGATGTTTTGCTTTAAAAGTAACCACTTTCCCATCACTGTTTCTCAATATTTGCAACTAATTAAAATATCAGAAAGCTATTAAAAACACATTTAAAAATGTATAAGCTGTTACATATGTGGAATTTTCATACAGTCTAATATAGCAGTTTGTCACATTATTAAGCACGATCTACTAAAGGAAGCTGGTGATTTTTAAACTCCTTACTCTTGCACGTTCTCCACTAACATTCCATACCCTTGACACACAGTTACTACTGTGCCAGAATATTAGTGCAGGTTCTCAAATGAAACAGAGTTCCAACTAAAAACAAAGAATAACAACAAACAATCCAAAAAAAAAAAAAAAAAAGCAACAAAAAAAACCCACTTTCCTAATGACAAACATGTATTTTCAAACATGTTAAGGCACTGCTGTATTTCCTGCTAGGTATGAGCTGTCACAGACTTGGCACTGAACATTAGTGGGGCTTAGGAAGATAATAACATAAATCATGAGAACACAGTGAAACAGTAAAATAGAGCCATTAAAACCTTGTCAGATTTGATTCTCTTGATTCTCAACTCCAGAAAAGCAGAGGGGACAGGGATCCAAAAAAATAAGAAGTACGCACCAAGAAAGAGACCTTGAAGGACACGGAAGTTTGGACCAAATCCCATTTCAGGCAGCATGCTTGTCACTTGCATATCAAACCCCAACAAACAGCCTTCACTTTTCACTTCACTTCACAATTCACTTCCACCCTCACAAATTCTACTGCAAAAACTGTGTTCACAGCCTGGCTTTTGTGCCTCCCTAACATATAGGAAATTGTGAACCTCAAAAGAAACAAAATGCCAATCCAGAGAGTGCCCCACTCCCCTGTTCCTCTCCCTAGAGCCCTTCTCCTGGATTCAAGTGATCCCTATAAATACTTTTGAAATACTGTATCCACCAGTCAGGATGCCTTCCTACTCCACTTCATAGTTTCAGTTCTGTTTTGAGAGCAAAGAAACATTCAACTTCTGAAATGTGTTATGTTTGAATTTGAGCAGCTAGCACAATACGTCTCCAATACCAGGCACATACTTTGGGTACAACTCAAAAAATCACGTGGAGCTGATGGCAGGTGAGGAGAGCAGCATGAGGAGTTATCTGTTCTCCTTTCCAGCCTCAAGGAGTTGGTGAGGGCCATGAAAAATCAACTAAGGCTTCAGCTCACTTGTCTGTGAATTAAATGCTGTAAAACATACCACTGCCTTGTGGGAAACATTAAAATGAGTTGCATTATGAATGTTTAATTAAATAAGAAATACATAAAAGCGTTTTTAAGCAGTAAACAAACATAATTATATTGCAGGTTAAAGTATACAGACACACAGTAAATAGTCCTTACTGCATACTCTATATTTGTAATTAAGTTACCATACACTTCCATCACATCATTATGTTCATTTTTGCAACCTGTAATTTGACTCCCCAAATGAGTACCATAAATGGGAAACACAGCACCTAGCATTGCAGTGCATGAAGGTTGTTTTGCACTGGTTCTGCACTGGTATTCCGACTCAAGCCTAGTGGAAATCGCCACAAACAGCCCTACAGAGAGCACTAGCGCACAGCACTGGCTGCCAGCAGCAGCCCCTCTCATGGCAACCCGTCTCAATTTAAGAAAACTCAACTGATATTTCAGGTAACAATAATTACACCAGCAACTGGGCTCACGGTGCATGAAAGCTGACCCACGAGCCCCCTTAGATTACCTCAGCACCGTTGGGTACAGTTCAGATGTATAAATATAAGCAATGTTGAAAGCAGCGCTGACCATCATTTTTCCACACAAAGCTAACAAGGTGGGACTGAGGAGCAAACCTTTCAAGAAAAAAGAAAATAAACAATAAGTGTAAGTAGTCTGTTTCCTTTTTACACAATGCTGAAAGCATTCTATCCTTTTTTCAAGAGACTTTCACACAACAACAAAGTTTCATCTGTTTCTTCAACTACACACACAAATAAGAACCCCTCGTTGCTTCCTAGCTGTCCTAAAAGCTAGAACAAAAATGAATACATAAAATCACGTTTAAGATCAAGATCGTCTCCTCAATTTTGGGGGGAGTGAACGCTAAAATCATTACAGCTCTGAAACAAGGCGATAAAGCTTCCAGCTCTGCAGTTAGAAAACCTTGCCAGGTAATTGCATCTATTGACAAGCACAAGCAGACAATAAGTGTTCCCTGACTAATTTATTAAATTAATACAGTACAACTTGATTAATCTCAAAAGCTTATTTGCTCCCCAGTGACAACCTGTGCATCCTTTAGATGCAGCAGCTCTGTAATTATGAAGAATGGATGCTAATGCAGCCTGGTTTACTTGTACCTAACCTTCAATTGACTTAATCGGGCTGTGGATCTTTTCAAATCCCAGTTACTTTGACTTTGGATATGGTTCCATTTGCACCATTCTTTTTAATGAGCAGGGAATTTATTTATTTCTGTTAAGCATGAAGAAGGATAAATGCTCCAATTAGGTGCACTTCACCTAAGTAATGCAGAAGTCACATTGCTTCTCAATTACTTCTCTGTAATTTTGCTTTTCAATATTTCCAATTCTATTCCCTTTTCTCTGTAATCCAGAACTGCATTATGGTACACAGTGACCAGATGCAAAGTGTGAGTCTGCCAAGTGCCACCAGGAAGTGGGTACCTCTCTCTTCTTTCATCAACCAAATAAGGAGCAATCAAGAACAGACTCGTAAATGTGTTTTAAAACTTACTGCATCTCTCCCAAAGGGGGCTTAGATTGAATGCTGTATATCCATATGTATTAGAAGAGCATTAGTGCATTTGGGAAGTTCTGGTCTTATTAGCAAAACAGAAGAGTCTGTCTAGACAGAGAAATTGGCACTCAGAAGCTCAGGAGTGAATTTAAAGTGCACTTTCCTCTCCACACTCACTCCCCAAAGGGGAGGCTGCTGGCTGTCTGCTGGGGAATTACTGCAGGATTAGAAGCACACTGCACATCAGCTTCCTGATGTCAGTAAGCTCGGACAGTGATTGCTCCTCCTCAGCCTTGGAGTGTGCATTTACCAACATTCCAATATTTTGTCTTCATCTGTAACAGCATAAAGCAGGAATGCACTTGCTCTCGTGGGGATTCTGGTGACCATTTAAAAGCAATTTGCTAGGTCCACTCAAGTGTTTCAGTGCAGCTTCTTTAACAGTTGCATCTTTATTATTACATTTCATTTAATATCCTTTCACTTGAACTTCCAGCAACAATAGCATGCACACCATTTTGCCTGCTGGGGCAACCATTTTGAACTTTAATAAAAGACCAAGTTGTACGTTCTTATTAAATTCAAGCATTTGCACTTCTTGTTGAGGTATAATTTTACATATATTCTTGCATTAATTGACCTGTGGAACTTAAGATGGTAAAATGGGGCAAAATGGCAAGAACAGTGCTGATATTTAAAAGCTTGTAGAACTGGAGTTAGGCAGTGATTAGCTTTGATGCTACCAGTGTCATTAGGAGCCTAATTTGGAGTGCCATTATGTAGATTCATCTTCTGGCTGTCATCTTCATGAGAAAAAAAGTTCACTTAAGCAGCACGCAAGGAATTAAAGGAACCTTCACATTTACTGCAGAAAAAAGTTCCCACCAAGAAAGGGTAGTTCTCAGCAAAAAGGGAACTATCCAACATCAACCAAAGCTAGGAAAAAACAGGTTTAAGAAGCTGGAAGTTTTCTTCCTTCAGTGGAAAGCTATCATTGAAAAATCACGAGAGGTAACAACTGTACATTCAGTACAGCCAGGTAAATCTAAGTACGTTACCCAGCTAGAAGTTCGCTTTGTTTACTTCACTACAAAAACAGGCACAAAATTAAAGATCCTTCCTGTTGTACAACAACTTCTGAAAGTAGCATTACATCCCCTCACCATCTTCCAGTCTGATGTTCATTTCTATTGAAACCTCACTGCATCCACAGAAGTGCCTCACTGTCATCACTCCCAGAGCTGACTGTCTTTCTGCTTGAGTGACACAGAGCACTCTGTGCCAAGAACCAGCTTTACCACAAAACAAAGTAAGACACTGTAATGGCATTCAAGTAGACTCCCTTAAGAAAGGAGTTTTCCTGAAACTTAGCAACCCTTCAAGAATTACTGCCCCATCCTGATAAGCGATGACTGCTTTTCATCATTTTTTTTCTATAGTGCAAACAGCAAACAAGGAAGAAATGGTCTCAGTACCAGAAACAATGGAGTGTCTGAGGATGTGAATTAACACAAACATGGGAAATAGGATTATAACATATTTTCTCTCTCACTGCTTTTCTTTTGTAGACTTTTCTGAGATCAATTTGAAATGGGTGCCAGACAGCATTCACATCTGCTGAGGATAAACACAACCCACAGATGCATACTTTGTCATCACATCACTGCTGCTCTTGGTTTGAAATACAACTACGACAAAAGCAAGAAAAACAGATGCTGAGTGAATGCTTCTCTTTGTCAGCGTCATTTAGATCTACATTTTCAGTGGCTAAGGTAAATATTGATACAAAAAAAAAAAACCAAACCTCTGCACTTGATGTGGAAATTTATTTATTTATTTTTTAATGAAGAGCTAAACTTTTAATTCAGGAAAATCTCAGTTCCTATTTCTTAAAACACTGTGTGAAACCAAAACGAATATTGAATTCTGCTTTGTGCCTCTCCCTCTGTCAATATCTAAGTGAGGTTACAGCCCTGCAGTTCTGTCATTAAAAGCGGCATTTTAGGATAAATGAATTAATAGTGATGAATGAATGCAGTAACATTACTTGAAACAGAACTTGATAGCTCAATCTGACCACCTGAAAGCCAAGATTTTGGAAGACAGAAAAACGTGGTCATACAACAGGCTCTAGTCAGGGACAAATTGCACCTACAAGAGGTTAGAAGTAATATATATGGTCCCTGGGCTCCTGATGGGCCCTGGAAGAAAAAGACAGAAAGAGAGGGAGGTATAAACTGACAGATCCTGCTAACTGTGGGCGAGAAATACTCTGTTCTGAATAAAAGCTACAAAGCAACATAAAGAGACAAGCAGCACTTCATACCTACCAGCATTTTTTTGCAAGAACATGGTAAATATACAGGCAAATCCTGCAAATATCAGAAACCACATCATAGTTTTACGCCTTCCAGACCTAGAAGGAAAAGAGTTCCAAAGATGAAGACGAAAACAAAGTCCTTCACTGTTTTTTGACTCTCTCAGCAAAATGACAGCTGAAGTATGCAGCAACATTATTAACAGTTATACGCCTATATTACCACAGTGCCTCATACCATTTTACCATAAGTGCCTCAGATCTTACACTCTTCCTAGTTCTGTGCACCAAAGACCTCCTATAAATTCTTCCTATTTCACAAACAAATACATACATGTATATACACACACACACACACACATATACATACATATGTATTTTTAAGCTATTGGATTTGTAGCCTTGAGAAGAATCCATCTACTTCAGAGAAGACAAAATACAGCACGAGTTCTTGCTGTAGTGAGTGAGGCAATGGGCTCTGCCACTGTCACTAAAAGGACATCACAGAGCACGCACACAAACATTAAAGTAATACGAATTAAAAAATATATAGGGCTAACTCTTCTTAATCTGTGCTTCTCTTACAGAACGAGGCATAAAGACAAGCAGTTAAAACACAGTAAAACTTCTTGGTATGCTTTCCCATCTAACAGTATACATATAGAAATAAGCAAAGGTTATTTCAACTGCCTATTGTTCTAAAATAAAAGAGAAGCAGCCAGGATAGAAAAGCACCAACCCAAACAAACAATGCTGGAAAGTGCTTTTCAGTTGCAGTTGGCAGGCAGTACAAAATCAAAGTCACCCTGAATAAAATGGGAGAGATGTACATGCAAGCTGTAGGTATGGAAGTAACTGGGCTACTCATCTTTTTTTTCCTCAAGACTATCAAAACTCTTAGTTTTTAGTCACATTAATCACTAAGAACCTCACACCTTGAATAATTCAAAAGCTGAACAGAACTATAAAAGGAAAAGGTAGAAAACTCTAAGTCCCATTTCTGTACCAACTGCAGAAAACCCTGCAGCTGACCAAACCCCCAATGAACCCAATGGTTTAGAGGAACCACAAAGTACCTTCCCATGAAAAACGTTAATGCTCTTTTAGGCTGTCTACAAATACATGCAGAAAAGTAGGAAATAAGGTTTCCTTACCAAGATTTCTCAATAAAGAACATGCAGAGTGGAAAGGCCGGAACTTCCACAAGACCATAAAGAGCAACATTTAAATAAAGATTTCCTCCTAATTCACCAGCATTTAAAGTTAGCCCATAGTATACAAAGCTGCAGACATACCTATGAATAATCACAGAAGTCACATTATAAGCATAACTAGTCTTCAAAATTAAGAATTAAAAGGTGAATTACGCCAAACTATAGGTTAGCTATATTAAGTTAGTATGTTAAGAGAACTCTTATTTTGCCCAAATGAGAAAAAATGCAGAGAGAATAGTTTCTATTTAAGTAAACTGTATGAAAGGACAAAATAAATGCTCACATTATCAGTTTGGTTTTTGGTGTTTTTTTCCCTAGGTTAGTCAGCTGATTCTTCCCTGCTTTGGGGGCTGATTCTTCTGTTCCAAGTTGCACAATTGTTTAAAACAGCACCAAATGTAACTATGCAAGCATGGACCTACGAGATGTACTTGTCGGCTTTACTCTCATTTCTTACATGTACTCCAATTCTTACTCCAGATCTCTATGACTGCCTCATCCACAAAGCTATTTTCTCCTTAAGACTGGCTCAAGTACACATCCTTTCAACTTCTGCTTCAGCTTCTCTTCCCCTTCAAAGTAAACACTATGTTTTCAGCAGATTTCTTATTACTAGATCTTGAAGGAGCATCTACATAACATACTGAAAATAAAATCCAACAGCAATGATAACGAAATGCTTGATGATAACGAAAAGCTTCACAACACACCACGCTTATTGTTTACAACTGTTAACTGACAAATTTATGATTAGTTTGGGGCAGTATTTTTAAGAGAAAAGGGTAACTATTTTAATAGTTTCCTCACGTCTGACTCATTCACAGCATCTCATTACTACATACCAGATGTACATGAGGACGACGGTTCGCCACCGAAGGACTGGGTGTTTTACTAAGTGTAGGATACCAGGGGGTGATTCGTCCTTCCGCAAAGTTCCTGCGCTTGGTTTTAATTTCAGATTTAATCTTTCTTTTCCATTACCAAGGGCAATATATTGCATCACATCTTCAGCTTCTGCAGTTTTCCCTTGGGAGTACAGCCATCGAGGTGACTCTGGAAGCATGCTAACAGGAAAGAAAAAGAAAAATCAACGGTGACAAGTTCATTCCTCAGTAAAATCAATTCTACTGTTCTGCAAATCAATCACCAAAACAAAAAAAAATAACTGTATTAATGCAAAATTCACAGAACAGTGTTTTATCTGCACTGTTATGCATATAAAATTTAGTGTGCTCTAATAGTAATGTACAGCTAACCTCATAGAAGGTTGGTTGCAAATGTTTGTCAAGCACTTTGAGATTACAGCTACATTGTGAGTTGTGCCAAACTAAGTGAGTTGTGCCAAACTAACTTCCTTGGGAAAACTGCACTGGCATTAACCACAGACCATCTCAATGTTCAATTACTCAAATGGCCAGGACAAAACATGGTTTTCACTGATGTTTATTTCAAACTTCTGGGACATGGGAAAGGCTCTGAGTTGAAGCAGAGAGAAAAGAAACTTCTCTGTGGACTACCTGCTAAGCTTCATGCCATGCTCATGCTAACTGCTGAACTTAAAAGCCCTATTCATAGAATCATAGAATGGCTTGGGTTAGAAGGGAACTTGAAGATCATCAATCTCCAATCCCCCTGCTGCAGGCATGGCAGCCAACCTCCAAATCTAGCAGTAGATACTGATATCTAATATTAGATAAATTCCCAAACACAATCACAATATCCTTGTTTACTACAACTGCAATTCACAATTCCTGCTTTATTCAGCTTGCAGAATGCACTGCTGCTTTTGAAAGAGTCACAGTGCAAAGAGCGGACTGTTTTATTTCGTACCCCTAGCAGAGATATACAGCCTTCAGTACAACGATTATTTCAAAGGATCCCAGGGGTTGTTTTGTTTTTAATACCTGGGAAAAATGGCTCTATATCCTCCAGAAACACAATATCATGGACAAAAACACGGTGTACAACATCTTTCCTCACCCTGAAGCTTTGTTTCCCTAGGCTACAAGAAAAATACTTTTTGTGCATTCTTAAACAGAACTTATTTCAAGAGTAGATTTATCTAATTAATAAAAAAATAGAAGTCAGAAAAGGTTTTTTTCTCTCTATGCTGTGTGCCACAAGTTCCACGCATTACTTTAGATACAACCTATTACACTAATAATTCTTCCATTTCTTCTACAGCTCTAATGTACAAGGAATATCCACTTAGTGTGTTACAAGCACATTTTGTACCAACACAAACCAGACAATGCTAGCACTTTCAGACCTTTAAATCCCATAATTGTTTTTATAATAGTGTTTATGCAGTAATTCTAAATAGGCAGGAGCACCAAATACAATAATGATAGGAACAGAACCAAAACAGATCTGAAAAACATGCAGATCAAAAGTGTATCCAGATAAGAAAGGCAGTTCCAAGTGCTCTGTTATCTCCCTTCGCACTCACGCACGTTGCAAAAAGCAATCCCCAAACCCTTCAAGAGCACTTCCAGAACTTCTCCAGCACTGAAACCCTCCTTTGGCAGCAGGCCGTGTTCCTGGCTGATGTTTCGGTGCACGGCCTCTGGCAGCCCTCTCTGCAATCAGGCTTTATGAGGCAGCTGGCATGCAGCTGCTCTGCACAGTGCTGGCTGTCACAGATGCACAGCAGTGCAGACTTTGCTTCGGGGTAGCCCTGATCTTCTGCTCCACTTGAAACTGATTCCTTCTTCACTATCATTTTCTTTTGCTTGGTTCATAAAAACACCGAAATATCATCCTTATTTATATCACTCTTGAATTATGACAAGAAAAGCTGTCAGATAGATGCCTCTTTTTCCTTCCTGTTATAAGACAAATGGGTCACTTACAAAGAAAGAAGGAAGAAGATGACTCCCAGAGTATTGGACACCAATGCCAGGCAGCGCCACTCTCGTACACAGTAACCCAGTAAAGCATACACAGCTATGCCCACTGCAAACATCAGATTAGTTAACGAACCTGGAAACACAAACAGAAAGGTGACTACAGACACCACTGGCAAGGCAAAAAGAATTAAGTAGAAATTCTAAATTTCAACCCCATGATAAATCTAAAGAAAATAGCAATAAAATCTTAACTTTGGACGTATCCTTATGGCATTTAAGCTGGCTTCAGTGCATTGCACAGTCTTAATGAAGAAGGCCTTTGTACAACAGGGGCAAGGGAAGGTGAGCAGGGCTGGTCCCCCCCTCAAAAACAAAGGATGGTACACAGGACAAACCAAGAGATTAGCAGAAATCCACAGACCAAAGAGAAAATTTAGGGATAGGAAAGGGAAGCATTGTGAGCTATTTAAGTTTAAGGTAATCTTGGGCTGTAACAGACATTGTAAGAAAGCTACAAAAGCACAAGGACTAAGTTCAGCATATAAAGAGCTGCAGCCCAGAGCTACAACTTCAGCAAGCTTCTGATGAACAGGTGTATATAAAGATGGTGAAATACAAAGTCAAATTCCATTCCAGGAGCCTACCAACAAACCTCTGCAGGCTAACACAGGAGGTCCCACACTAACCCACAAGCTCCCAACTACTGCACACGCAGCCTACCCACAGCCAACACCTAGCAGAGCTCCTTGAACACTGCTGGGCAGCTTCCAGCTGCCTCCTCTCCTGCAGCTCCTGATCAGTTGTTCAGCACCTCTTTACCAACAGCTGAGCAGGACTAGAACAAAGCACCTAAAAGTGAGAAGCAGCAGGAAACAGGCATCCTGGTGGTCCGTCTAGGCTGGCCCTGCAGGGAGAGAGGCTGGGAAGTGCAGGGAAGAGCAGAGACAGAAACAGGGAAGGAGGGGTGGGAGAGAAACGATGTGAGTCAAACAAGCAAACCCAGGCAAGAAAATTCAGCACTTGAAAACCACAGCTGAAGCAGAAAGCTATAACCAAACCACCATGGCTTTCTACAACCCTAAGAGTCCCAAGGAAAAATAAGAAAAAGGAGAGTGAAGTACTGGAGAACAGAGAGAAATACGCTCACAGCCACAGCAAGTCAGCAGCTAGACTCAGTTTTTCCCCCTGCTGTGTTGGCCAAATGGGCTTTTGGGTCTGAGCTACTGCCATTCTACAACAGTACAACATGCAAGTGTTACATTTATCTTACGCCTTGGCAGCTGCATATGAAAAAGGACATTTAGAAACACTGGATGGTCAACAAACAGAGATAAAATCCCTGCATCGTGGTGTGGGGCAGGGAAACTTCAAAAAAAAATCTCTTCCCAAGATACCATACAGTACCACTGAGAAGTTGGCAGAATCTGTCAAAACATATTTGTTTTTTTCATTATGTTTTGCAGTGCACAAATAAAGGTATGGTTGTTGTTGTTGTTGTTTTTTCCAATCAGTATATCTATTTAAAAGCCTCAGTTTTGCTATTTATCCAACAAACCCAACCCTGTACTTCTCATTTAGGCAGCACCCCCACAAAACTCAGAATTCAGATGAATCACACCGTATTCATTTGGCATGCCACACACTAACTTCACATTGTCAATGCCCACACCTGCACAAAGCAAGGCACTGGTAGTCAGAACAGCACTCGGCACAGAAATCACAATTAAATATTCTCAAATCCCACCTGTAAATGACCAAAATGATTTTCCTACATATTCTTGTGTCAGGACAAAAGACACAAGAGCCATTCCACCATTCACAATTCCAACAAGAAAACGTGAAACTGCAAATATGCCATAATTTGGAGCTAATGCTGTGACATACCCAAAAATAATATCAAAAAATAGACCTGCAGAGAGAGAAGAAAATATGATTAGTACTTATGCTGTGCAGCACGGTCTCAGAGGAAAGGCAGGGAGCACAGCAAGTTACTGGCTGTAGTGAATAGTATATATAGTATTTTCACTCTTATGTTTGGCTTTCTGAAACTACACCATACTACCATTACACTAATCTCCTATCCCCACAATGACAAATTTAATACTTCCTTGAGACAATCTTATCATTAAAAAAAAAAATCAAACACCCTTTCATTGCATGCACAGCTGGAAAACAAAGCACCAGCTTATGAATAATCCTTTCCAAAAAGGCTGAGGTAAATGATGCTCCTCTCCCCCCTAAAAAGGAGAACATTTTTACAGGCAGTAAAACAGTCAGGCAATACTTGCAGCACTATGCTCAAATAGCAAGTCATAGCAAAACCAGGTTATTTTATATCAGCCCTTGATACTCCAGTGACCACTGTGACGCTTAGCACACTCACAGGAGCCCATTTCAGTGCTGCTTTAGTCTGTGTGAGATGCTGATATAGATCACTGATTCCACATCACTGGTGGGGCAGAAATGGGGATGTTGCTATCCAGTAGAACACTCAAGGAGAACATTTAAAGCCTTACCTGAGATATACACTGGTTTCCTGCCCAGTTTATCTGACAAAGGGCCAAATGTGATATTTCCAATAAGCAATCCAGCAAAAAACAGAGATGATGCAAGGCTCACTTTGTAGGCTTCTTGTTCAATTAGATACCACTATTAAAAAAAAAAATTAAAAAAAAAATCACTTTATGATTATAAATATTAATGACAAATTGCCAGCTTTCTCAAAAACAAAGACATCTGCTAAAACTTTTCCGGGGTCATTTCCCACTGCTTGCTTTATATCCAATTAGAGGTTTGTTCCAAGTTTGATGAGTAACCCAACCCTTCACTTTCTCTCCTCTAGAAATATCATCATCATCTCAGCTTCTGATTTGTGAAGTTTAATGCATTGTCAAGATTTGACAAAGTAACTCACCTGTAAAGTTTGGGAAGTTTGAGTTTTTAACAGCTTGGCCATCTCAACACTGAACAACCTCAGTTATTTCAGTGAACTGATAATAAAACTCATTAACAAGAATTAAGAGTGTTTACTACTACAATACTGAGACAGCTGCTGCTGTGCAGCCACAATTCCTGGGGCTGGTGCTCCTCAGGGTACACACACAGAAGTGTCAAAGAGAAGGATTCTGAGATGTCCAGGTGAAGAGCTGTAAGAAATACTGATGGTTCGGTGATGTTTTTAGTATTTTACTCCATACATGTGGTTATGATCAAACAGAAGTCAGACACAAATTATGCTTTTCTTTATAAAACATACTATGGATCTCATGCAAAAGCCCAACTGAGGCAGCATAAGCAAAAATTATGCTTGTGCAGAAAGGAAGAAAAAGAACTGTGTGCTGCATGCAGTGTGCTGGAAACAGAAAGCACCAAACATTTCCTGACAGGAGGAGGTGGGCAGCCAGCCCACCAAGATCTGCGGTCACAGCAGCACTGCTGGGATTACAGACATAGCTCACATCATGTTGGGAAAGAAGCATGATCAGAACAGCACAAGTGATTTTCCAGGGAAAGAATGTAACTAATTCAATGCAAAGCTCTACCCAAATAAATGATCGAAATGTGCAAGGAAGTTTACTTGGGTATACGTGGATGAGAATTCACACCAAGACAGCATCGTGCTGACTGTGTAAATGACATCTGCAGCGTCTCCTTTCGGGAAAGGAAGAAGGATCCTAATGCCATTTGCTTTTCTTTTATTTTGTTTCTTGGTTTTGAGAAGAGGATTAAAGGGGTTGTGGAAAAGACTTAAGACCAGAATCCTACACTGCACACCACGGCCTCAGCACTGTGGCACCAGACTCAGATTCATACAGATCCCCACAGACTACTAGGAATTTACAGGAGCTTCTCATCACGGCGCTCTGAAGCAACCTGTGCTCTCAGCCAGTGAGTCCTGACCCACATGGGGCAGCGTGCAGAGGAGACACGGCTCCACCCACCGCTGCCCACCAGCCCCCATAGGTTGGCAGGAGCAGGACCTCACTGCTTTCACAGGACACCACTTCACTTCCACGTGCTCCACTTCAGCACTTCAGACCATCGAGGGAGCTGTGGATACTCTGGGATGGTAGCACTCAGCAGTGCAGCTACCTTCTACTACCACACTTTGCAGGGCAGCAGATTCCACCCTATTTTGGCAGACAAAGACATTGCTTACACCTGCTCAGAAAGAGAAGAAAACGTAAGTTTTGGGCATAAATCCTCAGGAAACTTCATTTGGAAAACAAATATCACAGCACGCCCTCTCCGAGGCACAGAGCACTGCTGGAGCAAGGCCTCCGTGCCAGCGCTCCTCAGCACACAAATTGCAAACTCCTGGTTCTCATTTGCAGCGCTCCAGGCTGGTCTGAGACACAACGCAACCTTTCAGGCCCCAGATACGGTTGCAAAACTCGAGTTCTCAAAATTAAAAAGCCATTTTTTCTTTTCCTATAGTTATCTTCTGACCTGCTCTCCTAACACCATACAAGCACAGAGTACGGGAACAAAAATATTTGAATGATCCCCATCTACCTCTGCATCTGAGAGTGGCAAATGACAAGGAAAAGAGCAGGGCAAAAGACAGCCTTTGCAAACTGTTACTTGTGCTGCTTACTGTGCCACTTGAAACGCCCCTTTCTTACCAAGTCTGACAGTCATCAGTGAAGTAACTGTAGTTTAAAAGACCATGTCCATCTATTTTATTTGCATAAAAGGAACTGATTGACTGCAGCTTGCCTACAGAAGCATTGCCCACACTGCCACCACCGTAACAGACATCCCCTGGCTCCTTACATCCGTGCAGCAGTTAGATTTACTTCCAGCTCCGAGCACCCAGCACCGCAGTTTAATGCAAACTAGTATTGGTTTTACATTAGCAAAGCAAAGCTAATAATTTAATTGTATACTTTCAGAATAGAAAATAAGCATAAACTAGCAGAGCTACTGGGTTCTGCTGACGTTTAACAGCACAGCAAAGTGCTGCACTGGCTGCAAAAAGCCCGAAGGAAAGAGAAAGCGGAGCGGCCGTGCTCACCTCGGTCACGATGGAGGTGAAGTTGCTCATGAAGCGGACGCGCTGAGCCCCGCCGGCCGCAGGCGCCATTCGCTCCACGCGGTACTGGGGCACCGCGCCGACCAGCACAACGAGCACGGACTGACACGCCACGTACACCTGGCAACGAGACGCGGCCGCTTAGCAAAACGGTTCCCGTTCCGCCGAGTCCCACACACGACAGCAGTTTCCGTTTACTCGGCACCGCAGCCCGCGGTCGGCACGCGGCGCTCAGCCCCAAGCGCGGACCCGCCAACCCCGGGCGCGGCGCCGGCAGCATCCGGCACCTAGCGCCCTTCTGCCCGCGCTGCTCCGCCGCTCGCTGCGCTCTAGGCAGGAGATACGAACGGCTCCCGCCTCGCTTCCCGGCCAGGAAGAGACACCCTTCAAAAAGTGGAAGCCGAATACGCGCAAATAAGGAAACGGAAAGCGAACGAACTCCGCTAAGCGGAAGCCGCGCGGAGGCCCGAGGGAGCGGCCGGCAGCGGCAGGGCCCCCCGGGGGAAGAGCGGCCCCGACCCGCCGGCTCCCGACCTGCAGCAGCACCAGCAGAGCGGTGAGGCGCCGCTGCGCGCCGCCGAATTCCCCCGCCGCGCCGAAGGCCTCCTCCAACCCCGCCGCCATGGCCCGCCCGCCACGCCGCGCTCAGCTGCGCCCGCCCCGCCCCGCTCCGCGCTCCCCGCCCTCCTCACCTGCGTCCCCCGCACGGCGAGCCGGGCGCTGCCCCGCGAGGCCGCTCAACGAGCTTGCGCTCACCGAGTACGGCTCTAAGGAGGTTTCGCCGTGGGAGCTGCTCAGTCCCTCCATTCAGCTCGGCTTTAGAATAAGCAGCGTGCTTCACGGCGGTCCGCCCAGCTTACCGCAAGCTGCCCGCGGCACACGCCCGGAGCGGCGGCAGGCGTGGCGCACGGCCGGCAGCGCAGAGCCACTGACCGCAGCCACCTGCGGCCGAGAGAGCCGACATCTGCGGGAGCAGCGGTGCGGCACACCGAGAGCCTTCCCGAGGAATCCATACTCTCTTGAGAAATGTTTTCTTGTTCTGACTTTACCTGAGCAGAACACCATGAAAAGATGTGGCTACCGTATTTTCCGTTACCTTGAGCAGGGTGCAGTGAATCCAGCTCTAAACCAAACCGACATCAGGCTCCATGGCAAGACCTCAGGGCAGTTTAGTCATCTCGCAGCTTCAGAAGGCTCTTTAGCGTTCATACGTTGACTCAGAACAGGAATTGTAACAATAAAATGCAATGTAACATGGATTACATGTGTCTACCCACATTACATCACATGTAGGCAATAAAATAGCCACTGCATCCTGCTCAAAGCAGCGTTTATTCAAGGTAGCATCAAGGTAAGTCAATGCATAATGAAACATTCCCTACTACAAACATGTAAACAAATTGACAGCAAAGTTATTATTACAATATAAAAAGTAAAGCTTACATTGCATTTTTAAAGCTACTAACTTCAGTTTCAATGTCTGACAGTCTCTGGTCCGTAGCATTTAAAAATATGAGTTCTTGAAAAATATCAAAGTATTGCCTTTGTGCACATACATTTTTGTACAAAAATACTTTAAAATACCAACTTCCCATTAATAAAAGTAACACCAAAATAAAACACTTTTTTTAGTTATCAACAGCGTGTTCAATGCATTTAGCCCTTACTCCACCATTCTGCTTAACCAAATTATCTTGTATTCATTTTAAAATTCATTATAGCCTGCAAAAAGTACGTTGGATAGCATTCAGTTACTCTGACACAGCTAAGCAATTAGCATTCATTAGCAAATATTGGCAATTACCTTGTAATCACAGTCCAGACAGTGTATTTGCAACTGAGGCCATCAGGTAAATCCTTGTCTCAAACTGTGTATTTGAATATGTACAGCACGCTCTTGCTGAAAAGTCTGAGTCAGTTCAGATATAAAGTTTTGGAGCATTTCCAGAATACATAATTGAGCAGGAAATACATATTCTGTTTTAAACTACCTTTGACCTTTACGTAACCTTTTCTTCACCTGTTTTAGCAGTTCTGTTGGTAGCAGTCAGTCAATTCTCAGGAAAGGTTTTGTTCATAACAATTACACAGTTTCAATTCAAAAATGAAAAAATGTTTAACTTTCTTCCCAGAATTTTACTGGCTAGATCTCAGCAGATGACATCTGCAGTTACCAAGGCAAAACAAAACAAAAAAGATTGAAAATCCACAAAGTTTAAGACACTCCTAAACCAAACTCAACTAAATTCAACAAGAAATATGCATCATCTGGATGAAAGCTAATCAGGCCATTGAGCCCTGTGAAAGATCAGCTGACAACGAACAGGAAAGAAAAACAACTTGAAGATATCAGGAAGTGGTTCCAGGATGAATGCAAAGAGAAGAATCAAGCTGCTGGGGGAGGTGGAACCCAATGCTTTATAGTAGGGCGTTAGACCAAAAGAACAGCTAGGAAATCACTGATGTTTTATCACTTAAGATGATGCCTGAGAGAACATAAATATATTTATATGGAAATAGTAATTAACATGAATAATACTGCTGGCTTTGCTAGTCCCATGTGTATTTCAGGAACAGAAGGGTTTGTGCAGCCTGTCACTACCTAACAGAGAGCTGCATTTGTCAAGAGGTTACAACCCTAAATACGTAACAATGCATAATGCAACTTATTACCACCAGCATGCTAAGGCCTAACCTTCTACTCAAACAACCTCTATCCTTGGAACTAGGAAAAGAATGTAAGCCCAGAAACAGGACTACATGAAACTGTAACAGGAACTAGAATCTGACAGAAGGGCTTTCCCAGCTCTTTCACACAGGATTCTGATTAGTAAAACAATGGCAATTTTGTTGCTTACCAATCAAAATTAGGAGCTAGTGCAAGATGTGGCAGCAAGTGCTCAACTGGAGAATAAGATTTGTACATTCTACTCAATGCCCAGGTTATCCTAATGTTCAAGGAGAGGTGAGATGCAAATACAAAAGCCTCTGTTTCTCCTAACACCTTACACACCTTAATACATAAGCAGCCCTTCCCTTCTTAGGTGATTTCTACATTCAAGGAAGTAGATGAGAACTGCGCTTATGGGACATGAGCTATGAGCCCCACCCCAGGATGCTACCTTGCTAATCATTTCTTATTTGAAACAACATTCTTGAGAAAAGTGGAGGAAAAAAAAGCTTTGGCCTTTTGATGATGTATGGAATGTTGCAGCTTCTTGCTAAAGGCATTTAACTTCCTTGGAGGACGCTAAAAGCACTGTGCCAACAATATTGTTACATCTGTCCAAGGCTTTGCACTTGGCTTATAAAGTACAATAATATCAAGTGAATAACACAATGCCAATACAGACCAGCTGCATTTTTATCCGCATAACTCAAACCCTGGCCCAAAGCAGTCTACAGAAGACTATAGAGAAGACAAAAGGCAGTCTGTATTAACAGGCTATTAGGTGTCCACCAGCAGCGAGACTGCTATGGCTGTAACAGTGTGAAGAAAAACTGCAGCAGGTGTTTAAAAGCATTGCAGTAAACTTGCAGATTACTGTCAAATCTGGGGGCAAGTCTAAGGATCGGAGTCTGAGCATCAAGGATAGGAGGGATAACACATCATTTTCCCTTAAAGAAAATTAATCCTATGTCTACCCATGCCACATAATAAAAAATACTATCTACAAAAGAGGATTTGTCCTCCCCATATCCACACTAGAAAGAGTCAGATAGAAAACTAAAATCAGCCTCCTTCTCAGAATTACAGAAAACAGCATTGAAGGGGATGTCGAGAGGTCACTTTGACAAGTATGGCATTCCAAAATTAATCTCTGTGCAAATAGTTATATCATGGACATTAGATTATGACAAGGCTGATTCAATATGCTAGATTTTTAGAAAAAGCTATTTGTAAGTCAGTATTTTAGTAATAATTTTAGCAATAAAAAACTACATAGCCAGTTGTAGAATCTACACACCATGAGAAATATACACATGTACATGTTCTAAATATATATATATTCTTATAGGTACGCAGAGCAAAACCAAACCAGGGCCTGAATGATCTATCATACATGCTGCCACTTCAGCATGACTTATCCTACGCAGTTGATGGGCTGCTCAGATCCCTGAGGTCTGTCACCAGAATTGTTACAAGTTTCACTTACCACAATTTTAACCAAAAACTGAGTTAAATCTTGTTGCATCTCTCTAGTTGAAGGGGGAAGGAAGAAAAAAAGAGTGAAACAAACAAAAGGCAGATAATACCACAACCCTGTAAGACACAGAAAGGCACCTGATAATATTGTTAAGTGTTAGCTGCGATTATCTACAGCATCCTAAGTGTACCTAAGCAATCAATGTGAGTTATAAAAAGCCTACTATATAAATCTAACCTGCCTAAGAATTAACTAAAATTACATGTGCAGCTGTAATTCAGTAAGTGTGCAAAACTACACAGTTTTGCATAAAGTGCTAAACGTACCCCCATTTTGCACCTATTACTATTATATAAGTTTGTTAAGCTTGGAAATACGTGGTGAAAAGATGAACTTAAGCATATACTATATCTTTGCTTTTTCTTCCTCACTATCACTCACCGTTCCTTAAAATGTACATTTTTAAATTACACGAAGGCCTTTTCAGGAACTGTAGTTCAGAGAAATATTTCAAGTATACCTATTTTTTCCATGTAAACTAGAGGATACTACAGGTTTGACTTTCACAAGCTCCTAACACTTACAGCTTTTCCTAATTTGTTTGGACTTGTAATTATTTCAGTCTGCTCAATACCTCTGGAAAAGTCAAGCTGTTTCCTGTAACTCATTTAATCCTCATTTACAAAGCGTTGAAATTTATCCTATAGCTTCCCCAGATTTAAGTCTAACAAGAAGCAATTACAGAAAAGCAGAGTAATACACTACCCAATCATTTAGGCTCATAAAACCAAGTCCTACTACATCTATTCATATATATTCATTATATGAATCATACACAGATCTTTAACACTTGAAGTATTGAATTCAAGTTGTTATAATACAGCAGTTTGTCTCACAGGCATTGTGCAATAAACTTAAAAGTACACATTGGGTCTCTTCTTTACTCTGTATTTCAGTGATCCGTATCGTATCTGAGGGGGAAAAAGAAAGTAGAACTTAAAAGAGGTAAGATCACACCAGGCAGAAATATTAACCTCTCCACTACTCCTATGTACTAATATCTCTAAGTGTCTTTTAGGCACTCTACAGATTCAGAAGGATCCTCTGCCTACAACTGAATGACATGGATCTTCAACAAAACTGGGCATGAGGGTTAAATCTAAGCTGTTTTCCCAGAATTTTCCATAAGATTTTATGATATTCCATAAGAATTTATTCTGAAACATTATTCTTCAGGTTTGTAACACTTGCAAATACAAAGCACTTTGAATCCTACACAAAATCTTCTCCTCAGGGTTACAAGAGTCACAGCAGGTCGTATGTTTATGGAAACTAAAAAACCTGAATTATCTTCAATCTATTAAACAGCAGATGCTGAAATATGGTCAATGAAGACACTCCAAAGCAGGTGACAACACCATTATTTACATCCCATCCAAAGAAAGCCATTTCTGGAATTTGAGATTGACCAGCCCTTAATACTACAAGCATAGAGTCAAT